GTAAGGCTGAAAGAAAACAACTCCAGTAGCCATCTCAGCTGGGCCTGGGTGGTGTTTACAAGCGTGGTTTGATTTACAGACAGCGGTCAGACTCTATAGGGCGCCTTTCTAAGCTAACATGGAGATTTATGTGCGCTCTTACTTGCATCGTTTAGCATAATGTATTTGCCAACATATTGTGAAAGCTTTTCTGTGCAGCAAATAACATGTTTAGACTTCAACTAGCTGAAATCTGTCACCACATCCCTTAGGTTCCCTTAGGTAATTTATTTTTGCGGCTTTTGAGTAGATTGATTGCTGACTCAGCCGTGCGGCAGCAGCACTGGGGTTTTTGGGAATGCGCTGGCCTCATTCTTAACCCTGATACGCATTGTGTGCTCGCCTGCACGCTCTCATTAGCACTGCTAATCCAGGGAGCTGGAAGAGCCGAACAGAGTCCGGAAAACACAGAGGCCTTGCATGGGGGGAGGATGTGATTCAGTGTCAACAGTATCTTTTGCTTGTGTATTTGGTCATTGGACTCGGGGATTATATGAATGGTGTGGTGGGTCCCTCGTTTGCAGTTTTTAAAATCTTTTTAATGTTAGTTTTTTGAAGGGATAGTTCACCCAAGAATAAAAATTGTTTTTTCCTCACCCTCATATTGTTCTAAATGTATATGACATTCATTCTTCTATGAAACACAAAAGTGTTTTTTCTCCATACAGTGAAAGTGGGGTCCGAGTCAACATTAAGATCCCATTTGTTTCATTCAATTTTAAAATGTGCACATCAACTTATATGCAACACACATATAACAGTAACATACTTGTATATTCATGCATATAATACAAAAACAACACTTGATTGTTCACTTTTTTTTTTGGTGGGCTATTAATTTAAAGTGGATTAAACGGCTCTCTTTATTGCCTTTAGAAGTTCATTTGTAATCAGATGGTCACTTAGATTAAGGAGCAGTTGTCACCTTAGGATGTTGATTCTCATTTGGCTTTGATCTTAACCTGCCATTTTTTTTTTCACCTTGTAGATAATTGAGAAAAGGCCAGGACACAGCAGGAGTCGTGTTTTCAGAGAGGTGGAAATGCTGTACCAGTGTCAGGGCCACAGGTAACCCATTCATTTGTGACAATCCTTAAATATATGCAATGAAAACTTGTATGTTATGCATTTTAATAACCTGCAATTGTCGACAATGTGGTTTTGACTCCCTTTTGTCCACCCAACAGAAATATTCTGGAGCTGGTGGAGTTCTTTGAGGAGGAGGACAAGTTTTACCTTGTGTTTGAGAAGCTGAGAGGAGGTACGTGTGCTTCTGTAGTGTTATGTTACTTTTGAGAAACATTACCCAGTCTCCCCTGGGCCCAAAGACCAGCCATGAGTAATTAAATTGAGACTCTCTCCACTGGAATGCATAGATCGCATGCCCTGGTGTTAATTTGTAACAATGTGTTTTTTTTTTAGGTTCTGTTTTGGCCCACATTCACAAGAGGAGATACTTCAGCGAGCAGGAAGCCAGCATTGTGGTGCAGGACATTGCGAGTGCGCTGGACTTCCTTCACAATAAAGGTATGAGAACACAGACTTGGAGAGGTGCTTTAGGACTGGAAAGGGGAGATAAGAAGATGGTGTTACACATGGGGGATGGCTTTCTCTGGAGACAGTTGGGGAAGGGAAGGTTATGGGGGTTGTTGGAAATTTAATCAAGTTGAAACTTGATCAGATTTCATCGACTAGCTTGAGGGATGCGCACTGGATTTCTAGGTGAAGTTGTGGGCTTACGTTTTATTCCTGTCAGTACTGTTGGGTGAGGGGATGCTAAGCTAATTTTAGTAGCACTTAGCAACAAGCTGTTTTGGAAACATTCGCCTATCTTTGCCCCGTCGACAATCCTCTCTTAGCCTGAATACCACACAACTAACTCATGACTTGTGTGTGTGCTTTTGTAGGAATGGCCCACAGAGACCTGAAGCCTGAAAACATCTTGTGTGAACACGAGGACAGGGTGAGTCTTTTACAACAGCGTGTTTGCGGAGTCAGAGATTCAGAATATACTTTGCATTTGTGGTAAAAGTTTGATCAGATTATTTGAGGTTTCCAGGCAGACTATAAACACTCAATCATTCCTGTCGGTTGTGGATAGTCAAAGGTTTTTGATCAGATTTTCTGTCGATGTGTTTCTTACAGATTTCGCCTGTGAAGATTTGTGATTTTGATCTGGGCAGTGGAATTAAACTCAATAGTGACAGTTCACCCATCTCCACTCCAGAGCTCCTCACTCCAGTGAGTGTCTTTGTGACCCTTTGACCACAGATTTACCCAAACAATGAATTGCATTTGTCTGAGAAACAAACATGATAAGCTGCTAACGGCCACCTCCCTGTTGTTTTGAAGTCTATGGATAAGATGTGCACATTGTCAATGTCGTTACTTATCAGGAGGACATGCTTTAATGCGATTGGTCGATGTTGAGTAGTGACAGTAGAGTAGCTCATTCTGATTGGCTAATGTAATCATTCTAAAGACAGTGATGAGGTCAAGGAATGGTTTTATTACCACAGTGGAACTTTTAAAGGTCCCATATTGTACACCTTTCTGGAGTTTTATTTGAGGTTTTGATGTCCTTAAGAATATATATTTGCGGTATAAGTAATATATCATCATGACTAGATAGACACGGTGAGTTTGTCTTTTACTATACACGTTAGATGTGATCCACCTCATAGTAACAATCCTGTCAGATCGTCCATCCTTTGAGTGTAACGTTACAGGTCGGCCGATCTGGTTTCGTGGTTAAAGTTAACCTTTTCGACATGTTTCCGTGTTGTCCTTGCTCAGCAAAAGCATGGACGCAATGTTGTCTGGGGGTTTGGCAGAGGGAGAGTGGGACGGTGGGCTGTGACTGAAGGCAGTGACTGTGTAGTTCTGACGTCAACTTTTTACGGAAGTCACAACGGTTCGTGAAAAATAGCTAGAACTTTAAGCAGGCTGTGTGAATTTTACTGTGGACTGACTGTTTTGAAACTTATATGGTAGTTAAATAGCCCCTAGACCTCAGTAATCGTGAAAAAAACCAGGAAATTTCAGTTTTGACAATATGGGACCTTTTAAAGAGGCCAAACTCTGTTGTGACATAGTGGAGCAGCAGTATTGAGCCCATTCTCTACATCCGTGTAGTTATCAACTTCACAAACTTGTGGATAACTTTTGGCTTACAATCTTAAAAATTATACCCAGTTCCTGTTTCTTTCAAAATACTTGAAATGGGGTTTATTATTTTAAGCTTGTGTGTGTCTGTGTGTGTGTGTGTGAGAACAAAGATCTGTCTTCAGCTTCATGGCTTTGAATGATTTGGGGCAAGACAGGCGAGAACAGGTGATATGGCGGGGGTGGACAGTGAGAAATCCTCAGCATGGGGCTTTCAGGGTCAACCTGAGTTGGATCCAACAGCTTGTTGAAAAGACTATTTGTGGACTGAATGGTTAAAGGGTGAAAGGTTCTAGTGTATCTAGTCCGTAAACAATGTGGGGTTTGTCTTTATGCCCTGTGCTTGCTGATGGGCAAGTTATCTCGTGTGATTCTGCAGTAGGGGAGAGGGTTTGATTTAATGCATTGCATGTATTTGAAGGGATAGAAAATTCTGTCATTTTCTCAAGCCCATGTCATTCCAAACCTGTAGAACTTTCTTCTGCAAAACACAAAAGATGTTATTTTGAACAAAATCTCCCTGTGTTCATTTTGTCCATATAATGTAAGTGGGATCCAGTGTTGTTTTTAAAAGTTAAAACGGTTAAAACCATTAAATCATTCTTTAAAATATATCTTCAAAATACTACTTTTGTGTAGGTGAAAAGAAGTCATACAGGTTTTGAACAACATGAAGTTTTAATTTTTTGGGTGAAACCTTTTACAATTCAGTCTTAGTTGCACAGTGAGAAAGACCTAGAAGTAGGAAGCTCAGTTCTTGGCTGCTTTCATTGCTTTCATTTTTTCCAAGAAGCATGCCCTTATTCAGAGTTCCATAAACACAACTCCCTTCATCAGGAAAGGACGGAATATTGATCAGAAAGTTCTTTGTGATTTTTTTTTTTTTTTTACTTTGAGCCAGTGTTTATATAGTTCCAAATTCTCAATTCCCCCCTTGCTACTTCTGGACGGCATGAGGAGGACAAGACTTCAACCCAAACAAACGTTTTGGGTCTTTGTGCTCCAATTTCCTGTCGTACCTTCTCCCTTAAGCACAGTTTAGACTCAATTTCTCATTTGTTTTTGTCTCTGCGGATTTCCTCAAGCCTGTCTGGGCATTAGTCTTTCAGTCAGTGTTACCACCCCACACCTAGCAACTGTTCTGTGATTGGTTTGGTGTGAGGGAGGATGAAAGGGGGAGGAGCATCTAGTGCACTCTCTGGTCATGCACTCAACATGTTTTTCTTGGGCAGGATCCCAGGGATCTTATCAGGGGGGTTTTTTCACCGCTAGCTTGATGATAACTCTTTGTGTATCACTTGATTGCTTTGCTTCTTATAAGATTTTCCCTTTTTAAAATTATTTTCTTTTTATAGTTACAGCAGGCTTTTTGTGTAGTGTGTTTTTTGTAGTGTGATCATATCATAAATGCTTCAAAAAAAGTCGCAATTTCTGAGAAGTGCATGTACTTTACTTCCTGAACTCTCCCTCTTCCTTTCTCTTGACGATCTTGCACTGCATGTACTTTTATACTGTGTGTTAACCTATAACCGCAGTGGAAATTCATACACGTATAGGTGACTCGCTCGCTCCGCTGATGCATGCCTTACTGCCAACCACAAAAACACATGAACCGACCGCGTGACTGCTCAAGCCAGTTTGTCCTTCCTTGGAAAGCCCCATATGTAATCTGCATGTGTTAGATGCTAGTAGCTGCAAGTGACTGATGCAATGCTGTGCTAGTCTTACAGCTGAAGTTTGTCTTGAAAGTGAAAATCGGCTGTACAGTTATCATTCGAGACCCTCTCCCTCTTACCTCAAAGACACCGAGATAGCTCACAAGCGAGCCAGAGGAATATACTTGGGTTTTATGAAACACGTGGAAACTGCTGCAGAACATGAGCCCTCATTTGCTAATTACAGGTCGCTCTGTTTCCCTGGTTTCTAGAAATTGGATGCAGTTGGGTACACAACTGACTAGTTACATACTGTAGCAATGTATATGTAGATCTGGATTGGTTGTTCTTTCTGAAAGTCTTTCGTTCAGGAGTGGGGGTGGTTGTGAAGTGTTCTCTTGAATGTGAGGGTGTTGAGAGGCGGTGAGCCAAAACAGCCGTGTCGATGGGGGTTGGGTGCAACAGTGGAAGCTTTTGTCTGCACTCGGATTCCTGCACTGCGAAATAGCATTACATAAGTGCAAGAAGGCGGAGCAACAACGGCAGCTGGGTTGAGGATAACAAAAGAGACTAGCAGAGCAGACCGACCGCTTCCTTTAACCTCAGAGACACGAACCAAAACATGACCATGTTGCACTTGAACACCTGTGAAAATATACAGAGGGGGGTTGGATTTGCAGCATTATTGGTTTATGCCAACTTTTGAACTTCAACCTCGTGTGATAACGTATTTACGAGTGTATTTTATTGTAAGTTGTTGTATGGGCAAATTATTATACTTTTACGTCATGTAGGGTTCAGATATTGGCCTTGATGCATCAGAACTGAAGTATACAAATTCAGGGAAGTTCTGGCATTTGTAATCTCTTGGAAAAAAACGCTAAAGCAAGTTATTTTGTAACACTGACCTCAGTCTGAGTCGCATAATTATAGGTGCTTAATGCAGCAAGATGGCCCAGCCTGTTGAGGAAAACTAAAAGGAACCCAGTTCTGCAGATCCTTCCAGAAGGGTTTTTTGTCCTGCTGAACTACTGAACTGTTACTTCAGAGAGGTTTTATGCTTTTACATCAAAGATGTGTGGGTCCGTGTGGTGGTGATGTTGCAAACTGAGTGTGTGTTGCTGTTATGTAATAAAGAATGGTATGTGGGTTTTCGGGGACGCACAATCCTTTTTTTTTTTTTTTCCTGTCCCAATGTACGACCTAGTTTTAGGCAGAGGTGGTCGGAGCCCGAACCAACAAAGCAGTCTGCACTTGCAGCTGAGCCCTCAAAACACTCCATGACTCACTTCCCCGCCTCCATCTGTGACATAACAGTCGTTACCCTGGTTACTTCAATTAAGGATCTGTATGCCACCGTCGCATTTTCTATCTGGACTGCGGCAGAAATGCGTTTCATAAGCAAGAATACTTGAATACTTTAGCATTCAACTAGAAAATCTGTCGTCAACCCCCCTTCCCCCCTCCACTCCAACTTGGCGAGATCTGCTGTTTACCATATGATTCTCACGCTTTCGGTTTCAGACGTGCTTAGGGGTCTCACAGAACACATGACATTTGTCAGCTGAATGTGAACAAGGACGTCTACAGTGAGGGGGGAAAAATGTAGAAATTGAAATGCAGCTGTACATAACCAACACATTCACATTTTTTTTTCTTAGTTCTGTGTATGCTTGCCACATTGCATAGCCGATGTGACTGCCATTTCAGTATTTTTGCCTTTAGACTGAAACAACCCATGTGCTAATGATTACTTTCTTCTCACCCCTTCTTGCTCTCACCTTAGTGTGGATCTGCTGAATACATGGCGCCGGAAGTTGTGGAAGCCTTCAATGAGGAGGCGACCATCTACGATAAGCGCTGTGACCTGTGGAGCCTGGGTGTCATCCTCTACATCATGCTGAGCGGTTACCCTCCCTTCGTGGGACGCTGTGGAAGCGACTGTGGATGGGAGAATGGAGAACCTTGTCAAGCGTGTCAGGTACTTCACACACCCTAGTCTATTCAACCACTGTGCACTGTTGTAAACCTACGTCAAAAGTATCATATTTATACTTTATATGAATTCTCTTTTTATATGTTCCCCCCCCAGAACACCTTGTTTGAAAGCATCCAGGAGGGCAAGTATGAGTTTCCAGAGAAAGAGTGGGCTCATATTTCCTCCAGTGCCAAAGACCTCATTTCCAAACTGCTTGTGCGGGACGCCAAGAAACGTCTTAGCGCTGCTCAGGTTCTCCAGCACCCCTGGGTACAAGGGGTAAGGAACCGAATGTTTCATTGTGTTCACTACAGCAAAACTTCTAAGTGTAATTTTAGTAACCTTAGACTGTATCTTCATGATTTTTCTTTACTGTCTTCTTTCTTTCTCCAGGGTGCCTTTGACTGTCTCCCTTCCTCTATCCTGCCACAAAGGTGAGTTGAGTTGGTACTAGCTTTTCTGCTAGTACATGCAGCTTGTAAAATCCTCATCAAGCTAACCTTGTCCTTCCTTCCATGCTCACAGGAACAGCAGCACTAAGGACCTGACGTTCTTTGCGGGCAAGGCTGTTGCCATGAACCGGCAACTAGCTGAGCAAGACGACCTGGAAGAACAGCAGCTGCAGGACTCTCCTCAGGTCGTCACAGCCAGTGCCACGTCCATGCGCCTCTCCCCTCCCTCCAACTCCAAACTTGCCAAGCGCAGACAGAGGAGTAGCCTGCTGAAAGGAGCGCCCGTGTCTGCCTCTGAGCTCAGGCAGCTCCTGGCACCGCTGGTCATTGTGGGAGACTGTGCTTGATCGGTTGAGCTGGGCTCCCCGTGAACAATTTTCCAATTTCAAATGGACAAAGTATCTGCTACCTTTTGTGCAAATCCCTCTACATTTCTTCTGCCCCCTTGAATGGGACCCAGCCCTTTCCTAAATGATGGTTCAGTTTGTGCCTGTTGCAAATCCAGTTTGCTCCCTTAAGCACTGGAGCAAGAGCTCCTACAGCACTTTGATCAACTCGACAGCATGGCAATTACCTTGCGAGCTCAAGGCGAATGAACTGGACTCCATTTAGGATAGAGATTGGGTTACACAAGCCATTCGGAAATTTGTCTAAAGGTAGGGCGTAAAATACCAGCTCCGACACCAAAGGTCTAATACCTCCCACCCCCTTCTTTTTGCTGCTTCCACGTTACAACTGGATCCACTGTGAATTTTCTCTGTGAGAGATACAACTGCATTTGTTTTTCAGGAATGTTCTTCCTGTGTGTGTGTGTGTGTGTGTGTGTGTGTGTGT